AGATACAGGATTACTGTGCTTGGAGTGGGTGGGGGTCATGGACAAGTGCTGCCTTACAGCTGGAGGCATTGGAGAAGCTCTTGGGGCTCTCAGCTGAGAAGAGACCTGGCCATTCATTCCTGATCCATGTGAGAGAAAATCAGATGAGTCAAAGCCTTATGCACCAGGAATGCTCAAAAAGCCAGGTGCCACAGGAGGAGCAGCAGCTTCTTGGATGACTGGAGCTAGAACACAGGTACTGGCTGATGGTGCTCTGTGTAAATGAAATCTAGATGGAAACTTCCAAACTCATACAGAAAACTGGGAAAGAGTTTAGAGAAAATTAAAATTTGCCTACTTGTTTGGTTGCACAGCCATAACTCCAGAATGGGTTTTTTTGATTGTTATTGGTTTTTTGTTTGGTTTTTTTTTTTTACTGAGCAGCCTGAAACTAACTGCTTTACAATCTTCTGAAAGAATTTAGTCTGTAAGGAAATGCTCTGAGCCAAACAATCTGTATTTGTTCAGAAATGTCCACAACAAATCAGTCAATTCTGCAGTAGCACTTTGTTACAAGAAAAAAGAACCTTTTTCCTGGCCTTTATACAGGTAGGCTGTAGCATGTGGTTTTACATAGAGATTTTATACTTATGATTCAATCTTTAGTAACCAGTATTTATATTGTTAAATAATTGGAAGTTTGCTGTTCTGAAACTGGTAGAGCTCATCAATAACTATGTGAGAAAGAATTGTTCTTCTGCTATGTATGATACCTTAAGGAAATCTATTTTAGAATGTGATAAAGGAATGTGGCTTCTGTGTATACAATGAGTGGTTATTACAGTCAGGAAATGAAAGTGTTTCAGAACAATCCCCTATTTTCAGGGGTGTAAAATTCTGCTTTAAACACTTAGTCTGAAGTTTAAATTCTGAACACAGTAGCATGTAATTTTAACTTCTGAGAAAAATACTGCAACTGCCTTTGTTTACCTGTAAGTGCTCTGCAGCTTTTTCCCCCATTTGCCCATTCATGGTTTTTGTTAATGGTTCTTTAATATTGCTGCTTCTTTAATATTGCTGTTTTGGGGCCTATAAAACAGTCAGATTAGAAGAACTGCAAAACTATGCTGAAAATTCTATTCAGGACCTACTTTAAAGTCCACTGAAATGGAATTCTTTCACCAAGGAAAATCTGAACCTGCTTCAGCCAGCTGTCTTAACACCACAGTGTAACTGAGAAGAAATTCCTTTTTTTTCTTATTAACAAACTGCCTTAAGGCATATCTAGAGACAGCCACACAAAGCAGAGGAGCTCAGTTGCAAACTAAACCTTGAATGCCTGTTTTGATTTCTGTTCTGGAAATGTTTCAGTTGAAGATCTCAGTGTTGTATGAGACCTTCTGCTGTTTGTGCAACACAGATGAAATTCGATTTTGCACTTAAGGAACTGGACTCATAGCATGCTTATGCCTATTAAAAAATTCCTGAAGAGTCTGCCCTTTCATTTATGTAAATTTATTTTTGAATAGTTGTGACCATGGGGCCACAGGCCTTAGCTTTTAATTTTGCAATACTGGGATTGAGCCATGGTTTGGGCTAACACTTCTGTCCTTGCTGATTTTATCATCAGCACTGTACAACGTTTATTGGCCTCTCTCAGCTTCAGTGAGTTCAAAGGATTATCTTAATGTTCTTGCATTTTCTTATTGACTTTTAACACTGTTTCTTTTCAAAAATGTTTAAAATAAAATAGAAAAATTTGCAAGGTCAGGACAGGAAAATATTTCTAGTTCTTTCTCGCTCCCCTTTCCCCAGGATGCACACAAGCAGGCTGGGGTGCAGTTGCTCTTTTGCAGTCAGATTCCATCCTTTCTTCCTCCTAGAGGCAAAGGCCATTTCAAATGGAATTTTTATTCATACTTTTTCATCTTACTACCTTTCTGTTCTTGGAGAAATACAAAATAGTGAATGGTTCCTGCACCATAACATCTCCACTACATTTGCAGAAATTGGAAGGTAAAGAGTGAGCAGGGCAGAGGCCTGGAAAGGGGAGCAGGGTAAACACTCAGTGCCTGCAGTTGAGATTTTGCTGAGTAAATTGGGTTACTTGCTTTACTGCTTCCATCCTTGGAGTTTTAGTTCCTGCTAGGAGCTGCCCTGCCCTGTTCCCCTGCAGGCAAATGTGTGAAGGGGGAATGTTCAATGGAGAGCAGTGTAATGCTGTTCAACCTGGAAAAACTTGACATGGGACATGTTACAGAATCCATCTTAAACATCCTGGCTGCTCCTGCCTTCAGCCTCTGACTGCTCCTGAAATGGCTGCAGAGGGTTTGTTCACTGTGTGGTGTGAGATGTCAGTTGAAGCAGCTCCATTTCTTGATTCAAAACAAGCCATAAAGTTCAGTGCAGGGAGTTCCCAGCTGCCTCACAGTGCCTTACACCCTTCCCTCGGCAGCTGGCTGCAGTCTGAGTCACAGCATCTCTGGTCAGGTGAAGTCATTCCTTGGAGCTGCAGTGGTGTGGGATAGGAGGAGACTCCAAGGCTGGGCAGCAGCTCCTTGAGTGCCACTGAGCAGCACGGGGAGTTTGCTGTGCAGTGCAGGACTCCCTCCTGTGTTCATCCTTCCTTCCTTCCTTCCTCCACCCCAGCATGTGGGGAAAAGGGAAAAGCAGCATGGCTGGGTTACAGGCCTGGGGGTGAAGCAGGGACACAGCTCCAGCTGAGAAAAGCTTTGATCTCAGTATTTCTTAACATAGGAGTGGCTGATTTTTTTTTTTTTTTAAAGCTACATTAAAAGGGCCTGAAAGCCTCACTGGATTTTCCTACATTTCAAGATGACAAGCTGAGTGGGTGAGGCACAGCATCTTGTGCTGTACTAAGACTTCTGTTTTCCTTGAAGCTGAAAGCTTCCATCTGTTATTCACCACAACTCAAACTGGTTCCACCACTAATGCACTGTCACTTAACACCAGGGCCAGCTAAGGCAGGACTCAGACCTGCCTTGGGCTGGTGTGTTGTTAATTTATTCCACATTACAAAGGGGAAGGTTTCCTCTTCCCAGGTCCCTCAAACATGCTGCTTTGCTGCTTGTTCCCTGACTTGTATCTCTGGATTACCAGGTGTCTGCTCCTGGCAGTTCTCAAGGCTGAGGATGCCAGGGCCTTTTTGGCAGTGTCATTTCCCTGCCCTGATTTGGGAAGCAGCTGAGTCAGCCAGGCTGACAATTTAAAATGGCAGTGCCTGCCCTCCTCTTCTGGAAAATTCTGGTTATTAGGGCAATAGGAACATTTATGAGAATGGGGGAAAGGGGTATTTAATAACCCTGAGGGGGCTGGGTTTAATATGGCAAATTTCAGCTCAGGTATTCAGTAAGGAGCTGGTGGAGTCTGAGAAGGGGCAGCTGTAATAACAGACTCTATTACCAGACCTATTCCAGAAGCCTTACTCATGGAGTTGTAATGACATCAATTTGCTTAAAACATCCAAGTGTGCTGCCAGTGAATTTATAACTTGTCTAGTTACCATGACAATCCCAAGTTCACCAGTATATTCTCTTCTATTTGTTGGCTTTGCTCTACTCTTAGGTTTTGGGGTTTTTTGCTTGTTCCCACTGTGGTTCATGTAATTAGCACTTACTTTAGCCATTCTTAAATTATGTTTAATAAAGGAGTGGGGAGAGGTGTAGGTCTTCACTGTAGTGCCAGTTACTGTTTACTGAGAGTGGAATCAGACCCCTCCTGCATTTGCCTTTGGTATGTGACTGAAATAGGAATAGAGAAACATAGTTTAGGTAATTTAACTGCAGGGTGTTATCTGTGCCTCTGCTATTAAAGCTTTGGAAGGAGACAAACACTTCACTCAGAGGCAGGCTGAGGCTTAAGCCTGTTCCACCTGACCCTGTGCTAGAACCATGGAATGGTTTGGGTTGGAAGTGACCCTAAAGATCATCTAGCCTCTAACCTCCTGCCCTGAGCAGGTGACATTTGGCTCAGCAGGCCCTTTGGTCTGACACAACACCTTCTTGACCCTGATGAGGTTTTACCATGTACTGAAGGACACCACCCCCAGAGGCTGAGGGAGCCTGCAGAGTTCAGTAGGTGTAAACAATCCTTTACCTTTAAAAATTCACCACAGTTCTCCAGTGGAGTAGTGCAAACCCTGCCAATTACAGACAGTATCCATATGGTTTTTTAGAGCATGTTCCCCTCCAGTTCCAGGTCCTTAGGATGTGCTGCTGCTCCTCTCTCCTCTTCCCTTGTCTGACCTTCTTCCCCAGTAAGCTGTCAGAGGAAGGCTCAAAAAAGGCAGAACTCAAACAAGAAATTAAACTCAACCCCCAACTTCCTGCTTTTGTTCAGTGCCAAAAGCACTGCAGGAATCTCTTGCAGAAGCCCAGGCCTGCTATTTTTCCTTGCTTTGCTCTGTGCTGCTCTCTTCCTGTAGGATGGATTGGATTGGGCAACCATTGTTTTCCTCACACTGAAAAGAAATCCAATCCTGCAGCAACAGCACAGCAATGACCTGTGTATTGTGCCTAAGTTAAATTATGGCACACTTGGAGGCTGCACTTGTGCTAATCACCTTCACATAAATAATTTTATATTATCTAGTGCATTTCCATCCTTGTCACAGAGCCTTAGCAGCACATCACATAACTACAGGCAGGGGTTGTAGCAGAGGTGGCTCCAAAATCACTGAAGATGTCACAATCACAGAGTCTCCTCTAAGCTCTTTCTGCAGCTCTTCACAGACAGCTGAGGATAATTTCACTGGATCAGCAAAGTGTATCACCTTGCTGATCCACATATACAAAAATGATGGCACACATCAAAAGAACTTTCTTTCTTTGGATAAACACATCCAACCTGCAAAAGTGGAATTCCTCATTGTCCACTACAAGGTCAGAAAGACATGGGATCTCCTCATGGCTTCAGTGTAAAAACCAAGTTCTAAAGCTCAAGGGCTATCAAGCTTCACAACTCCTTCAAGGATGTTTAGAAAAACAGGAATTAACTCATAGTCAAGTTTGTCACCCATTTCCTGAGCACTTTTTAAACAACTAAATTAAACCAATATTCTATTGCCATCAGGGTTGCTTTGTCTAATATCACTTCCAGGGCTGCCTCACTCACATCTCATCCTCAAAAGGAGCATTTTTAGATCACTGAGAACATCAAAGTGTTCTGAGAAGAACCAGCTGGGCTTTACCCACAGGAGTGCTGATGTCAAAGCCTTCACCAGCTGGGTTCCTGGAAAGAAGCACACCAAAAGTTGCAGCAGCAGAACAAACTTAGGTACTCAGCAGTCATTTAATTAAGGAATCAGTCATCAGAGGAAGCACAGAACACAGGCTGTGACAAAGGCTGTGTTACAGTGCTTTTCTAGCACTTCTCAGCATCAGCTGAGCTGTGTTTGTGTGCCTCCAGGCTGGGCTGGCAAAGCCACGTTCCCAAATTCACCATCGTACACCAGATCTGGCACCTTTGCCACACACAATCACAATTCAGTCCCAAATACCAGTGGTGCATTCAGGATTCACTTGGATCAGAGCACACATTTCTGTATAAAAGCCAGGCTCTAAATGCCCCTGTTGTAGAAGAACACTGTTTCTTCTGTAGATGACAGAATTTCTGGTTCAAGGTCTGCTCGCTTTATCTGCAATGTAGGAGAAAATAGAATCAGCACCACCATGGCCTGGAAAATGGATGTTAAATCCTTGTTACTCCATTGCACTTTGCACAAATTCAAGTACTGCATTCAGGATTTGGGATTTGCTCTTTGTTTATTTGGGGATTTGAGGGATTTTTCGTTGTTGTTTTGGGGCTTTTTTCCTCCTCCAGCATTTTCTGCATGTGCACACATATTGGAAAAAATACTTATTTTTTTTTTTAATAGTGACATTATCCCTGTTCACTATAGAATCACAGAATCATTTCAGTGTGAAGAGACCTTTAGGATCACCCAATCCAGCTGTAAATATATTTGGGTGACACACAGGAGAACTTCTGCTGTGGGCTGAGCCACTGGGAAGGCCAAAGGGCATCAACCAGCCCTAATTTCAGTACATAATTCCTCAAAAGTCCCCTCATTTATGTTGAGTTTGCTTTGTTGTCATAAGAGATGAAGAAATTTTAAAAAACCCAAAAAACTAAAACACCAGAAAGTTTAGACAAATAAAAGAAACCACTGAAAATTGCAAGAGTTAGTTCTCCTGACCTTGCTTGCTTCAGACTGTTGTGAAAGTCTGATAAACCTACATTGCAAAGTGTAAATATAAATAACACACAATGCAGCTCAGACCTCAAAAGCCTGTGAGCCTCTGCCTGGTACATGGGCCTTCACAAGCAGCCTCTCTGCTGCCCCATTTAAGATGTACCACATTAATCCTGTTGATTTTTTTAATATGTGGCCTTCAGAGTGGTGACCATAGTTCTGAAAAGCTGATTTAATGTCACAATAATCTTAATTCCTGTGAAAGGACTTACCTCCCCACACTGTGGGAACATACTGAAGGAGACTGGCAGCATCCCTGCTAGGACTGACATAATCACAAACATCCTCACAGGACCCAAAGCACGAGGATTTTTAACAAATCTTGCTCTGTCCAAGACATTGAAAAAAGTATGTCAGTATATAAAAAAATAACCTAACAGTGACACAAAGAGCATTAGCTACTGTTTTATTGAAATTAGTAATAATCTAGGCTTATGGTTCCAAAAGATGTTTCCCCACTTCACTTCCTATGTTCTTACTCTTAACTTCCTTTGTTTTGTGCTTTCCTGCAGCATTTTCCAAGTTCAGACTGTCAAGATTAAGGAAAAAAGCAGCAAGATCAAAGTGACAAAAGCAGAGAAAGTACATCAGTGCTTTAAAGTGTCTCAGTTCCTTCATTAAAATTTTTCTTTCCTTACCCTCTTGCCTTACACATCCAGTTCCTGTGGGCAGCCCTGTTTTACTTTGTACAAAAACGTATTACTTGACATATAGATATAAAATTTTATTTTACATCTGCATTTGTCTTCTGGTAACATGAGTCCCTTAAGCTGACAGGGAATCAATTTAGGCAATACCAAATTACCTGACAGAGATGATCCCTACCTGTACTATTTACATGACAAAAAGCTCAGGGCAGGCTAAGAACCCTCTCATAAAGCATACAATGTATTCTTCTTAGGATACAGAGATTTAAAATGTTGAAAAGCAAGAATATGTTTTACAACAGGTGAAAAACTATTAGGAAGTTGGGATCCCGCTTTAATTGCAAATTCAAGTGCCACATTATCTCTTCAAAAATGCAAACGTAAGCTAAGTGCTGTGAACAACTTTGATACAGACATTGAAACTCAAATGTTAAATTATGGAACTGGAGGTGGTAGGTGCTGGAAAAGAGCCTGTCAGGAGAGCACAAACATGTTTCCTGCATGGGAGCAGAGAGGAAAACCTCATTCCTACAAACCCTGGAGCATGGGTTAGACATAACCAGATTCACTTAATGACCTCAAAGAATCACAGCAGCTGAACAGCAACTTCCCACATCACCACTTCCACCAAGGCAAGCAATACTGCAAACCCAAGGGAAAACCTGGCAAATGGTGAGAGCCAGACTGAGAAGCAGAGTCCCACTGGCCAGGCAGCCCAGCCCCTGCAGTGCCTCTCACCTCTGCACACAGTGCATCAGCACTTCTGGCAGGAAGAACGTTGTCCCAAACAAGACTGCTCTGGACAATGCTGTTTCCATAACAGCCTTCAGGGAGAGAGCAAAACAAGTGGTGTCAAAAGAATGTTCTGGGCAGCTTCAAGCACTGCCTGCTGCCCTGAGTGCTTTCTTGTCTTACACTCTGGACTTTAAAGCAACAGGTTAATGAGGGATAACACTCACTAGAGGAATTCTTTCTTAAATGGAAGCTAAGAGGCAAATACTCTGCTTGTGACTGAGAAATTCCTTACAAGGAAGGTGAAACTACTGATGAGATTTCCTGCCATGATAATAATTTTGCTAAGACTTGCTTTTTAAAGTTGTATGAAGCTGAACTTCATACAATTGGTTATACCTTGTGGACATCCTAAGTAGCCTGTGTTAAATCTGAAGTTCTCCCTCCAGCTGTCCCCAAATCCTTATGCTCATGCAGTTGTTTCCACAACACAGGGCATTTCTCTGAGGTGTTTCTCAGAAGATCCAAGAGTCTTATCTCCTTCTGGAGGTGACCAGAGCAAACAGAAATGTCTGTGCCAGTGTCTCTGGTCCTCAGTATACTGGTGTGGGGAAGCAGCCAACCCTTAATGACACTGAAGATGTGGAATCCAAGCCTGCCCAAAGATTCAGCACCTGGTGTGGGATTCCTTATTCCATACATCCAACCCTAGCTACTCTCAGCATCACATTCTGCTCTTAGCAGGGAATGAAAGGCAAGTCAAAAAAGTTCTCCACCCCCTCACCTACCTTCTCACCAGCCTTCTTAGACACTCCTATAACCTTGCCATTCCTGTCCATCACTTCTATCCCATTATCAAATTCTGGGCTTCTCACCATCGCCACGGTAAATGCACTTGTCAGACCTGCAGGGGTAAAGGGGACTTTGCTTTAATAGATCCCAAAGGACTGCCTCAATAGTAACATCCATAATGATATGCATTTTACATTTCCAGTTCAATAGTTCACATCTGAATAACATGACAGCTTAAAAAAACACTCCCCCATGAAAATGTACTCGGGATCTGAATCTTTGTTTCAGAAGCTTGAGAGAGACTGCAAGGCTTCAGGCCCAAAAGGTGCTTTGTCATTGTGGATTCAGAGCTTTAAAATCATTTCCATCCAGCTCAAACCACGAGTACTTTGTCTTAAGAGAAAGTGGAGGGATTTCTGTTGTGGTTAGGTTTTGTCCTGCTCAGCATAAAATCCAGCACAGAAGACAAAATCCTGAAAGGAACAGGGTTTCAGAAAAGGTTGCACCCTGCATTGAAAGGAAGGGCATAGACTGTCAATCTGACCTTGCCTGAAAGAAGAGGTTGCCTCTTTTTATTAGTTCTTGGTAGAGCTATTCCATAAAGACATCAGTGTACCAGAGGACACTTTGCAAATGCTGGACTAACACTAATCAACTACCCTCAGGCTTTTCTCTACATTTAAGAAAAGGGAAGAACATTTAACACCTGCTTCAAGGAAACAAGCCAGAAACCTCTAATGTACTTCAGAAAGATCTGAGAAGGCATCTCACATAACTTGAAACAGAGGAGATGATTCATTTTAATTTCATCATTTTTTTCCTGAGAAAGGAGAAAAAATTCTATAATGGCATTAGAAACATAATTAATGACATTAAATAGTTGAACTTGTCCTGATGCAACTTCACCCTGGCAGTAGAGCTGTTGCAGTGATGAACTGAGTCCCACTTTCCTTGCAGGATTAATAACCCCCTGATGGAACAATCTCCCTTCCTGCACTCCCAGAGCGATGCCGCACTCTGGTGTCACACATGTGCCACACCAGGTCACATCAGTGCCACTGCTACTGCCCTCCTGATCTGTCCAGCTGCGTTCAGGTGTGTGTACAAAGCTCCCAAGAGCGCTCTGCAGCTCTGCAACTAAAACCAGCAAGAATCCAGTGAGGTCAGGGACACTCCCAGTGAGAGTAGTCTCCCACGGAAAGGAGGGAACTAACAAAGGCAGCCAGAGAAGAAACAGAGAGCACACTTGTGCAAAAGTAAGAAAACTCTACAGTCAGACAGGCAAATGGCCCTCAGGCAGCTGCATGGGGCACAGTTTGTTCCCACTCACCAAGCAGAGGAGCAGGCAGCAGTTTTCTGACCACAAGGTGCATTAATGAGTTCTTCAACATGTAACGATTCATGAAGGCAAGAGGGAGAGCCTAAGGCATGGAGAGGAAACAGGCCACTGAAAAAATGTGCAGCATTTCAGTGTGACAGGTTAGGAAAATCAATCTGTGACTTGGTTACCATCTATGAAATAAACAAATGCCTTGGTTTAACATTCCAGCAAAACATACAACTTCTCTAGTTAATGAAGGTGCTTGTAATCACTCTTCTAGATAAGAATGCAAAACATTGTGATAAAAAAGCATTCAACATTATTATGTAGAGCACAGCAGCAGTGTGAATACAAAGACAGAAAAAAGAAAATAATTACCTCTGACTAATATTCCTTGGACATTTGTCCAACTGCATTGTGTCACATATTCCTCTCTCCCCCAAACAGGAAATCTGGTTTACTTCTGTATTTTTCCTGCTTGTCTGCAGTTTTAGCCCAATTTTATATTCCCGTAATACACTTGCAGGAAGTTTCATGTAGGAATAAAGGGCCAGGACACCAGCTGGCCCTCAGAGACTCCCCTGAAGGAAAAGGGAGGCACTCCCATGATGGCCCACAGGCAGGGCTGCCTCCCCAGGTTTCTGTAAGGCCTGAGCAATCCTGGCCAGCTCTTCTGCCCTGCAGTGGGCAGAGGTGTAACCTCCCTCTAACAGAAGCAAGAACCATCACATTTTTCTGCCAAAAGCTTGTGAAAATCACTGCTTTGTGTGGGGGCTGAGGAGAGGCATTACAGAGACATCTACACTTGTGATGAGTGTCATGATAATTCCTGAGCTCATTCTGATGTAACAAACTCCAGAAACCAAAACCTCCTATCCCAGCAGAGAGCACAGGGTCAGCTCTCTCTCAGGAATATTGATTTCCCTGCATCCAGTGCAGTATTTTCATGGCTATGTTCCTGGGATTTGAACAAACACTGTCCAGTACTGATGCTTGAAGACCTCACCACTTGTTTGGAGTTAGATCTCTTTCACAGCAACACATCAAAAATCAGCTACAACAGTGGCTCACCCTGTGCTTGTAAACACTGGCCAGTTCCTCTCACTACCTGTGTGCTAAACTGGCAAAACAACAAGAAATTGACACAAGAGGAAGCATCAGGGGAAGCCAAGCAAAATAATGGCTGACAGATAATCAGAAAACATTCTTATTCTGAACAGTTCTGTGGGAAGACATCAGAGCAGAGCACCAGAGCACA